TGCCGCTGAACTGCCAATGGGTGACCAGATGGCACAGCTGGTGACAGTGTGTGCTCTTAACAAGGTTGCTGGTTTGACTCCCCTATGGGATGGTGGGCTGTTCTCCTCCCCCCCACAACTAGATTGAAAGTGGCGACTGGACTTGGAGCTGAGCTGTGCCCTCTACAACTAAGATTGAAGGACAACAACTTGACTTGGAGATGATGAGTCCTGGAAAAACAGTGTTCCCCTTCCCCAATTCCCCGACACTGTTCCCTTCCCCAAATCCCCAATAAAATCTTTAAAAATAACAATATTAAGTTATGGGGGGAGCATAACTCTCCACTCCTTATGTGTAAATGGCACTTAGTGACCTTCTTCCAAAGAGGCAAAGAGGGAAGGGGGAGGGGGAAAACTTCACATTGGAGGAACTGACCAACACCACCTTCCCTCCCGTACTCTCTCAACTAAAGTCCATAGCTTATTCAGATTTCCTTAGTTTTCACTGATGTCTTTTATGTCCCAGAATACATTATATTTAGTTGTGTCTCTTTAAGATCCTCTTGACTGTGAGAGTTTCTCAGACTTTTCTTGTTTTTGATGATTGTGACAGTTTGGAGGTACACTGGTTAGGTATTTTGTAGGAAGCCCCTGTGATGTTTTTCTCATAAGACCCTGGGGTTATGTGTGACTGAGGAGGAAGACACAGAGGTTAAAGTGCCATGTTCACCACACCATATCAAGGGTGCATGGCTGTCACCATGACTTGTCACTGTGGATGCTGGCCTTGATCACCTGGCTGAGGCACTCTCTTTGCTTGCACTAAGTATTTTACTGGACCCCAAAGGCTTTGTACCCATAATAAAATTTGGGGTGAAAAATCATTGTTTTATACTTTCCAAATGTTTGATAGTACATGTATATAATTTTAAAATACCTATACATATAAGGTACATACTGACCTCAATATATTTAGTTCAGCCAGGCCTGGGTGAACTTGGCCAGAGAACTCCAGAAGACTCAAGAAAGTCATGCCCCATCTATTTCAAGGATTATAGAAAAAGCATTTAATTTATTACATCCCCTGTCTCATTCTCTGGATACCGGGGCTACTTCACAGTGGGGATGGACTAACAGTCTGCAACTGTTAAGGTCTGCTTGACACGATTTCCCCTTTTTTCATGGTAGGTAACAAGGCAAGATACCATTCTCCTTGTTTTAAAAGTACTTTATCCTTAATCTCAGAAAAAAAAACAACCTGTTGCACATACGAGACTTGGGCTCTATGCAGGACTTTGTGGCCACGTTATAACTGTGAAATGAGAGGACAAGCCATAGGGCCCTTCTAGTTCCTTCCATCCGTTTTGTCCATGTCCATCACTTCTAACAAGGGACGCAAGACAGTAGGTTCCTTTAGAGTGGACCCCTGGACCTCCCCAAATCTGAGGGACTCATCACATCCCAGTCTGAGTCTCCTAAAGTATCAGTGTCACAGCAACTGAAACCAGAGCAGATTGCCAGGACACCTGGGCTGGCTCCAATTTGTAACTGTGAGCAGACAGGGCGGCACGAGGACGTCGTGCCCAAGTCAGCTGAAAGCTGTCAGCATCTGAGCCTGACAGCTAGGTAGGCAGGGCCACATTCCCGAGAGCAAAGCTGAGTCACCAAGGCAGAAACCAGGAGGTGAGTAAGTTTCTTTTAGCACCCAATGAGGGGACGGGTATGGAGCTGGTCTAGGGCGAGACCTGCCGGCCAGTCCATGACTTACATAATTTCCATGGCATTTTCTTTCAAAATTCAAAACCTTTATCTCTGCATAGTTACCGTATCTATAGAT